GGTTGGGCTATGGGTTGCTAAAATGATTTGCTTCTTGCAAACCTTTGGTCAGTATATGGAATTTTGGAACCGACCTTCCACATAGTCGAATTGACCACTTTTGAGGTCACGTACATTCGTAAGATGATAGTTTAGATTTTTGACCCTTTCACCTTATGTTTTACCTTTTACCTATAACATAACATTTAGATTACACTAATTAATAATTGTCAACGAGGTGCAACGCAATGGAGGATTTTGATATTAGGTTGGTCAGAATTTTGCCGTAGCAACGCACGGGCATCATGCTAGTTTCAAATCAAAATCTAAGTGGAACATAGTTGTAGTTTTACCTTAATTGTCAGTTGTGGCAGAACCTCTTAAATTATAGGGCCCACATGCATCTGTCACTGTCCAATGACCTCTGACGACTATGCATATGTTCCCGGTAACTTAAGAAGACTGTCGGGTGTCCTCGGAGAACTCCGAATCATCCACGATTTTTCAAGCAGGATTCATTACAGAGTCATTGCAGTAATACAACAGTTTATTCATTAATTTACAGTAGAGCGAAATAGCGGAAGTTTTACAATAACTTAGTTTATAAAACAGTTGTTTCAAACCTTACAAACTAAGTATGATTATTATTACAAACCATAGTAGTGGAGTAGCTGTAGTAACATAAAACAAAACACATAATAAAAGTGCCCTGCCCAAGGGCCACACATTTACTTGTCATCTTCGATTTGAAAAACTGTCATGCAGCACGGTCCAAAGCAGACCTGCTCATGAGACTCCCCTACAACAAGGTTTAAATAACCCTGAGTACAAAAGTACTCAACAAGACTTAACCGAAGAAAAACGGAAAAGACCCAGGAATGCAGGCTCAGGGATTTAAGGTAAGGCTTTAGCAATAAATAAAGTTCTTTTGCGTAAAAGCTCTCTAACAAGATTCTTTCTTTCAACATTTAATCCTTATCAAGATCATATATGAATCTACCATGATCCGTATTGAGATCATGAACTTCATATCAAACTCTTTCTCAAATCTTCCTCAAGTTTCATTTATTAACTACGATGATGAACAGTGACTTGAGTCTCCATAACCGAGGAGCAACGACGATTCAAACCGATTATAACCCAGCTGGGGATTCCCAACCACACGACATATGCAGGTCCCTAACCTACATATACCAACCTACCCTCAGGTCCTCTAAAACAAGAACGGGTCCGCGCCACCCGAGAGCACAGTACTCCACCAATCCAACCCTATTGCCATGTGGGTACACACTACTCCCGCCATCTCTCCACTCCTAGTGCGCGAGTAGCCATTCTCGTAATAGAATAGCCGAGTTAAGGCTTACCGGAGTATGTGGCCAGTACTACAAAGTCTCATCTCATGCAATTCAACAACGGACGGTTCTTAATCGACACAGGTGGAAAGAACCCGCTCACAAGACATCCATGTCTTGTGGCTCTCATACACCGAGTCTGCCCGGTCTAGATTTATTACTCCATAAGATCATATCTCATGATAACAGAAATAACCAGTCGTATCTAAAAACCCTTTTATATCTCACAGGTGATAGGTAATCATCCGACTTTTATCTGTCTAAGCATGGCTAAGCATAACTAGGCATTCTCGAATTAAAAATAGGTAACAAGGTTGATATGGAAAGACAAGGTTGGTAATGCACCAATTAGGTTTTTACTCAACTCCTAATCATTTAATGCAGTACTTGAAAGCAAAAGCGATATAAATTTGTAAAACACAAGATAGCTTTAAATGCATCCGGGGCTTGCCTTGATTGTCAGAATAGTCAGGTTCCGGAGATGTTCCACAGATATCAAACCCGACCTCAACAGTTGGATTAACTTCCTAAACAACTTGGTTGACTACCACATTCTCACTTTCGTTCACTACACGAAGTAATAATGCCATGTTCAATATGATGCGAGATATAAAACATGATGCTTGACGATGGATGCAAAAGTTAAAAACTTGAATACAACTTTCCTTCGTGGTACAGTTGCAAACCAACAACTAACTAAACTTTTTCATAAACTCAAACACTTACTTTAAGTATCAAGGATCATTTTATGCTAATGACCAAGGTTATCACTCAATCCAAAAATTCAAACAAAACCTAAATCATTAAAGTTTACTATTTGTTTTTAAGAATTAATTATTTAATTCAAAATTATGAAATAAATCAACTTTCTCCAAATGAGCTCAAAATTTTTGTGAATGCTCATCACATCATAACTAAGTGGCAAAACAATTTTCACAATTTTTGGATAATTATTTAAGCCTAGAAAAATCATGAAAATCCATTTATTAATTAATTTGAGAAATTTTTATCACATTCAAAAAGTTCTGAAAAGTAACATTTAATATTTTTCTTAAATAGTTTACATCTCAGAGAGGTCACACAAAAATTTTCATAATTTGTGGAGCTCTATTTAATTCTACACAAAATAAACAAAACACAACACTATTTAAACAATACTGCAAAATTGAAAAATCCATTTTCAAAACAATGGCCACTGACATCGGGGTCCCACATGTCGGCACAGTACTCCCGCGCTGACCACGGCGGCGGCAAGGCCCTCTGATCGGCGATTTCTAGCCGACGGTGAGGTCTCCGACGACGACGAGGGTACCAGTGTGATCACCATGACAAGGCACACCCATTGGTGACATTAATTGCACCAGTCACGGCTCAAACCGAGCTCGACGCCGGCCATGGCGGACACGGCGGTGCGGCTGCGTTACGCCAGCAAAGTGAGGCCGGTAGCGGTTAAACAAAATGTTTGGGAAGACTCAGTAGCTCACCCCAAACACGCTCGAGTTGAAAGAGAAACCGGAGGAGCAACCGAGATGCTTGTCGTCGATCACTGCAGACATGGCGGTGTAGGCTGTCGTCGACGGCGGCGTTCCGGCGTATGTAGTGGAGGAACGGATCAACCAACACGACACAAAGCATCACGGCAACACGAAGAAGCTCTATCTATGCTTAGCAAGGACAGAGACGCACCGTAGAGTGCTGGCCACAGAGAGGCGAGCTCGACGGTGATGCTGCCGGCCGCGAGGAAGAACGACGGCGTGCAGCGTTTCTCGGTGAAATCAAGCGCCTAGGACTAGTCGGCTGGGTTCGCAAGGAGTAGGCGGAGCTGTGGCATGCTATGCTAAGACGGGGAGGGCGCTACGGCGACGGCACGAGCTCGACGGAGTTGAGTGGCAACGTCGGGAAAAACAGAGGAGAGGAAACAGAGGAGAACGGCGACGGCGTAGGCTTTATAGCGCGGCCAAGAAGCACGAAGAAGCCACGCAGCAGTCTTCCCATGCCAACGCGAAGCCGGAGGTGGCCACGGGCGCGACTGAAAGTCGATGGAAGCTCGCCGACGGTGAGGTGTCGCCCGCTGGCACTGTTCAAGGTAATTACCGAATTGCCACTCGCCTAATTTCTCAAATTACTTTAAAAACGTATGGTAACTCAAAAATCTCCAAAAATAAAAGTTGTTCCAAATTCAAAGTTCTACAACTTTTCTTTAATAACCATACTCAAATTCGGTCTACATTTTAAAATGCAAGTTTAAAATCAAAAGGGGACACTTTAAGAATTTATCCCTTTTCAAATTACTTCAAAATTTATAAAACAACTTTGAAAACTCCAAAAACCAACTTTGTACACATTGACAAGCTCTACACTTTCTCTTTTAGGCTCAACCCCAAAATTTGCTTAGATTTTGAATTAGGTTTTCCAGGGTAGAATTAACTGCTGGAAATTAGGGTTTTCGGAAATCCAATTCAACACAAATGTTTTGAAATTGATTCATCCATACAAGTCAACACATATCATCATAAAAATAAACTTGTTTTAGTGAATGCATATCAAAATTTTCACTAACACAAAAATGATGTGCAATGCATATGATGACATGACATATTTTAGGGTTTAAAACACCAGGGATGTTACATCAGTGATGAAGTTCCTGTCTCCTGAGTATTGAACGCGTTCTGTTTAATCAAGGTTCTCAATTAGTCAACTGAGAAGATTTTTTATCAAATTCAAAATAGAACTTTGTTGATAGTTTATCTTGGCCAGTGATTTCCACACCATTGATTTGCATAAATTATCAGTGATGAAATAGTGATGTAGAGCAGCCAAGACATTTTTCACCTAATGCAATTGATTAAAAAGCTTCAACTTTGTTGTATTTCAGTTATTTGATGAGTGAATCTGTTTTATTAGTTTATTATTGTTGGCCCATATATTTGCGAACCTTGCAGACTGTTCGCATTTGGTGTGGGAGCGAGTATGGAAACTATAGCTGTGTACATACATTAAAAGATCATACTGCTGAGGTATTTAAGTGGATGCTGCTGCGATGATGCTTCCTGTCTTCAGAACTATTGTTTGCATAACTGACATCCTTCCTATGCTTTTAATTCATCATTCCTCTCCAAGTGCATTCAAATTTTTGCTGCTGTAAATGTAAATTTATGGATGTTTAGAAATTTTATTGATTGACCAAGTCTGATTTTGAGGTAAGAATCAGTGATTTGAGATAAAAGTTTGTAAGTTAGGATTTGCAATAATTTTTTTTATGCTGAACTCTGATATACGCTTGTCTCAAAAGTCACATGATTTTCAACCATCCAGTCTTTTTGTTTGTTTCATTTCATTGAGCTGTTCTCTGTTCTGTTCGTGTACATTATTAATTGTTAATCAAATAAATGTTTTTGATAATCCTCCCTTTGTTCTTCTGCAGAAGTGATAAGATAGCAGTCCTTGGCACTTTGTCTCTATTGCTTCTTTTCTTAGTAATTTTATTACCCGAAGCCCAGGTTCCTTTTTGAAATTTATTAGGTTGCGGCTGTTACTGTCCAAGAGAGTGAGAAATGTTTTGTGTCTGCTTCCAAGGATAACTCATGGTGCCTCTATGATATTTTAACTGGATCTTGCAAGTCAAAGGTTCCCTCCTTCCCCCTCTCATATGTATACTATTACTACACCATGAATGTGTATATGATATGCATGATTGTTTTCCAGGTTGGTGAGGCTTCTGAACAAGATGGTTACACATCGGCATCATTCCATCCACATGGTCTTTTGCTTGGAACAGGAATGACTACTGCTGTTGTCAAAATTTGGGATATGAAAACTCAGGTGTGGTTATTATTGTATGAACTTTTCATAAATATTTTTAGGTGATCACTACACCTATATTGTTTTGAACATAGCTGGAACATCGTCTCAACATAATTGGTCCCGATCTTATGGAGATGGAACCCAGAAGACTCTTTCTTCCTGTTGTCATATGATGGGTTTCATCTCTAGCTTGCTTGTGATGTTGTTACTTTTGCTGCTGCTACTACTGTTTATGTGATCTTACCTTGAACAACCTTTGCTAATGAACAATTTATTATCTGTAGTCACATGTTGCAAATTTAAAGGGCCACGTTGGACCTGTCACAGCCATGTCTTTCTCTGAAAATGGTTACCTCTTAGCGGTATGTAGATTTCCATAAATAACATGCACAATCTTTATTCTTTTTATTTCTGATATTTTACCATGACTTTGCAGACTGCAGCTCGTGATGGTGTCCGGCTTTGGGATGTTCGTAAATTAACAAATATGAGGACTATTTCTCCTTATGATTCAGGCACGCCAACCAATGCGGGTAAGGAGCTTACTGGATTGTGAACCTCTATTTTTGCACATGCTTTTTATATTCATATTGACAGCTAACGGGACAGGATAACTTGGTTTATAAAATTCACCATTAACTCATGCATAACTATTCGTGCCTGCTTCCTGGACCGTTCTTTGAAATGGGTTGAATGTAACAATATGATGCATATCTCTCCTTTGACCTTCAGTGGAATTTGATTCAAGTGGAAGCTATCTTGGCATTGGTGGTTCAGATGCAAGGTATGATCTTGTAACCTATAAGTATAATGTAATGACAATTTTATAAGATTTCTTGATTTCCTGGCACTGTTGTAAAGTAGGGATCCCATGTTTAATCGGACAAATAAAAAGAGCTGAATTGAGACTAGTTCCTGTTAGTCATTGAGAATATCCTTTAGCTATTGAGAATAAAATGGTTGTCGTACGTTGCATTCATTCTGGCATTATTCCTTAACAATGTTTGGACATTATTGATTATCAAAGTTACTAGTTACTATGCTGTGAATGCAGTGTTTTACGTTAATTTCCTGCAAAGTATATGCATGATTTTTTATTTCTTGCTGGCACAGGTGCTCTTAAATCCGCTTGACCTTCTGTCTGTTTTTGTAGGGTTTACCAAGCAGACAAGGCTGAATGGAACATTATCAGGACACTGCCAGACCTATCAGGAACAGGTCTGTTAGACCGCCAGGTCTCTTTGATTGCCATTTTTACTTGGTACAGTGTTGTGACATTTGTACTTCTACAGGGAAAGTAACTTCCCTGAAGTTTGGAGCCGACGCCAATTACATTGTTGTAGGTTCGATGGTCTATAACCTACGGATATTTGGTCTCCCTGGGGATGAACAAATGGACGTCTGAAAATTAGCATCTGAGGAAATATGGTGCACGGACAACTTTTGCCGTGCTCCAGATTGTCTGCTGGCCGGCGGCCGCGTACTGCAAGCGAGGATCCTCGCAGGGGAGCACTGGCCTTTGGTGGCATAAACAATTTTTTATACTATCGTGTATAAACAACGTTCTTATGATTTTAAGATGAGCACGATGCTGGAGTGGAACTTGCAGATATGTCATTTAGTAATTATCCATGTTTCATCCAGATTAGTGGGACCAATTAGTGGAGTTTCGCAGTCATTAGCAGGATAAAAAGGACCACTCCTGTGTAATTTAGGCAATACTAGCGCCCGGACGTCCGAACGGACGCACGCGGCTGCAGTCGGTTCCCCCTCCGTTTCATGCGTCAACACATGGACCCGCGCTGCCCGGACGTCACTCGACCGCGACTGTGTGCGTCAACACATGGACCCGCGCTGCCTGGACGTCACTCGACCGCGACTGTGTCACCCATGCTGCCTGACGTCGCCCGCGCGAGGACCGCTCGCGCCCCTTCCCGCTTCCCACGTGCATCACATGTACAACAGCCGATCTACTTTTAAAACATACCGATGTAACACTTGCAACATGCAAAAAAAAAAAAGATAAAACACTTGAAACATGCATCAGAAACGCTGCAAAAACAATTGAAAACCCATTGTAAACATACGCACCATCTAGATAAAACACTTCCAACATATGTGTGAAACATAAGTAACATATAGATAAACACGCTTGCAAAATACGTCTGATAAAACAGATCAAACATTAGGGACAGACGCTTGCAACATACATATACAACCGTTGCAACATCCAAATCTACTTTTGCAACATCCGTGTTGTCGATGACCAATACTAAGGTACCTAAAGATGAGGAGCTAATGGTCATCAACATCGATTCATCCGAGCAGTCAAGAGCGTGACTACAACTCCAACCGACCCCTAGGTGCGCAGGCTCCGCCTCGCTCGACCTCGAGGCCGCGGGCTCCGCCTCGCTCGACCCCGAGGCCACGGGCTCCGCCTCGCCCGACCTCTGGGTCGGGAGCTCCGTCTCGCCCAACCCCTCAGGCGAGGCTCCTGACGGAAGCCCATACCGTCGCCAACCACTACGGACCAGAAAGTACAACCCAAGGTCAAACTTCTGGCATCGTGCAGGGAGCGGGCACATCTCAACACGACCCGTGCCCGCGATATGTCATTCTAGGGAACTCACATCACCAACAGTGACGAACACGTGGTCACTATGCTGCTTACTCCCTGTACGGCCGCTGGCCAGCATGCTGGTTCGCCGCGTCGCTCGTCGGGGTGGAATGGGACGTCATGACCCGCTGACAACGCCGGGGCGTGGCCTCAGTGGCGGACAGGCGCCCGGCATGGAGCCGTCCCTGTCACCAACTGCAGTGTCGGTGGGACCCGCACGAAGGAAAAGAAAGGCCCGGCGGTCCTGGAAGCCTTCCTCTCCTTGCCTCTTCTCCCTCTTTCTCTCTGTGTAACCTGCTCTTTCCCTTCGTCTATAAAAGGGGAAGCAGGACGTTCCAGGAAGGGGGCGGTTGACCATTCTACATGGCTGTTGACATCAAAACACATGTTCTAACACGCCTTAGGAGCACACGCACATCAGAGACTTGGGACATGTCCCTCCCTCGCTCGTTTGTAACACCTACTACAAACTTTCAGTGCTTGTAACACGAGCAACAACGACAAACTAGACGTAGGGAATTTCTGCCCGAACCAGTATAAACCTCGTATCCTCTAAGCACACCATCTGAACCAGATGCGCAATACTAGAAATTTACTAGTTGAAAACTCGAAACACCGACAGTTGGCGCTAGGTAGGGGCTTTTTGCGCGTCTCGACGTCCACATCAGGCCTCAGATGGCTAGTCACGGCGTCAGCTGGGTCCCGGGCGTGCACGTGCCCTTCGAGAACCTAGACTTCATCGTCATGATAGAGAGAGTTGATGCAGGCTCCCATCGCCGTCCAACCTCTCCACTCCACCGGCCTCGACGCGATCGCTGAGGCGCTTGAGGAATTGCAGTTGCACGCACCGGAGGCCCGTGCCCCTGGGAGTGACTAGCTCCTCGGCTTCGACTATGGGAGGCTAGAGCGCCAGCTCGGTGCCTTCCTAGGATGCCAACCATCTCGAGAGGACCTAGGTCGCCTCACCTTCTCCTTCGCCAACGTCATGACGCAACTAGCCGGGGGAGAGCCACTCTCCCCGGAATACCTCATCCGGAGCACCCCGACAGTGCTCCTGTCTGGTCTCCTCAACGCCGCAGAGACCGTTGGCCACCTTGTGGCACAACCCACACCTCCATCCCCTGCTAACGACGAGTTCGTGGGGATGACCGAATATGTCGCGGAATCTTTCCACGACCTCCTCGCGGGAGAATCAGGGTCGCCCTCTGATTCTGACTCCAACAAGGGGAACCATCACCCTTCTTGTGAATGTTTCATGGTAGGTACCCCCGAGGGATACGTCGAAAGCATCCATGAGGGAGAGGCTACCCCAACGAATGACCTCGACGACGAGGTCGAGGGGGATGCAGGGGCTCCACCTCGCCCGCGAGTAGAGCAGCTAAAGGCCCGGCACCAAGAGATCGAGGAAGCATGGCTCTAGCTCAAGTAGGATTGCATAGAGCTCGAGTGAGAGATCGAGCTCCATGGAGATGGTGGGCGTGCGCGCACCGTGGCCCACGACATGAACCGGAGAATCATCGAGGACGACGAAGCCCTCCGACAATGCACCCGGGCGAGCCAGAACATCGCTGGTGCTGCGGCCTTGCTCCGGGGGCTTCTGGGGCCCGTGATGCCCGAGGATCGCTGGGCCCATCGTGAGATTCACATGCTACTCGAGCGTGCGGTGACACAGCAGATCGAGAGCTCGTTGTCCCGACGATGCGAGCTCGAGCCAGCCAGCGCACGCGATCAGAGTGACCCAACAAGGTCGTGTCAGTCCACCAGGAGCAGCAAGGCGGTAGGCCGCGCACCGCAGTCCTGGTGCATGAACATCTCGGCCTCCACCGTGATGCGCGCAACACCCTTGACACCCATAGGAGTACCCACGGAGATGCGAGGGTGGAGGTTAGACGCGGCTACCACCCTCATCGTGGCGACGCTACGACAATGGCGAGGACCGAAGCCCGAGCCCCGACTTGCCGGGACCTCAGGCCTTTGGCCGACAAATCCTCAACGTTGTCTTCCCACCGCAGTACCAACCGCCGACCAACATCCTGAAATACTTTGGGAAAATGAACCTCGGACTGTGGTTCGAGGATTATCGGCTTGCTTGCCAAGCCGGTGGAGCGGCTAATGATGATTTCATTATCCACAAGCTTCCATTGTTCCTGACCGATTTGGCGCGAACGTGGTTGGAACACCTTTAGCCCAACCGAATCTAAAGTTGGGCGGACCTAAAGGAGATATTTGTGGGAAACTTTTAGGGCACATACGCACGTCCTGGGAACCCATGGGATCTAAAAAACTACCGATAGAAGTTTGGGGAAACTCTTCGTGGGTACATCAGGCGCTTCTCCCGACAGCAGGCAACGAGCTGCCCAATGTCTTCGACGCCGACGTCATAGGAGCCTTCCATGTGGGACTACCTGCGAGTCCCTGGTCCATAAGCTGGGACGTAAGGGCCCGTGAACCACCAAGGAACTCCTCGACATCGCCACCAGCCATGCCTCGGGTGAGGAGGCGGTCGGAGCGATTTTCGACCGCCTCAAAGGCAAGGCGGAGCAGGATGAGGACGTCGGTGAAGGCGCCTCCAACCGTCCCACAAGAAGAAGAACAAGCAGCGGCGTGAGAGCTCGCTCGTGTCCACCACCGACTGTAAGGGGGGTCAGAAGCCCACCGAGGGTACCCCGGACCACTTCAAGAAGCTGCTTGAAGGGCCATGCCCGAACCATGCTTTCCCCGTCAAGCACCTATACAAGGACTACGTCCTCATGAAGCGGTTCTTGTTCAGAGGCTCCAACAAGGGGGAGCAAAGGAAGGAGCCCAAGCTGACCGCGGATGACGCCGAGGGGAAGGATGGCAGCTTTTCGACGTTGGATGGCTGCCTCATGATCTTCAGAGGGTCGATGGCCTATGACTCCAAGAGCCGCCAGAAGCTTGCATGCCGTGAGGTCTATACGGCCGAGATGGCCGCACCTACTTCCTCTGATGGTTGAAGTCCACCATAACCTTTGATTGGACCAACCACCCGGAAAGCGTCCCACAGCCAGGAAGATATCCGCTCGTGGTTGACCCGATCATCGGCACGAAGTGGCTCACCAAGGTGCTGATGGATGGAGGCAGCGGCCTCAACATCATGTACACCAAAACGCTCGACGCCATGGGCATCGACCTATCGCGCATTTGGCCAACCAAGGAGCCTTTCCACTACATCGTGCTAGGAAAGCAGGCCGTGCCACTTAGGCAGATCGATCTACCCATCACCTTTGGGGATCCAACCAATTATAGAACGAGACCCTTACCTTCGAGGTGGTTGGGTTCCACGGAACCTACCACACCATTCTAGGACGTCCATGTTACGCGAAGTTCATGGCCGTCCCCAACTATACCTATCTAAAGTTGAAGATGCCAGGTCCACGCAGGGTCATTACCATTGGCACCTCCTTCCAGTGCACCTATGAGTGCGAGGTCGAGTGCTACGAACACGCCATGGCAATTGTCGCCTCCAAAGAGCTCACGGCCATTAGGGAGGAGATCGTCAAAAAATGCCCAACCCTAAGCGGTCGATCGGGTCTTTTGAGCCTGTAGAAGGTGCCCCAAAGAGGTCCTCATAGACCCTAGTGGCTCCAAGGGCAAAGTGGTGCGCATTGGCACCACGCTTTCCTCTAAATAGGAAAGCGCGCTCGTTGACTTCCATCGCGCCAATAGAGACATCTTTGTGTGGAGACCCTCGGACATGATAGGTATTCTGAGAGAAGTCACTGAGCATGCCTTGAAGATCAGGCCATGCTCCAAGCTGGTAAAGCAGC